ACCAGCAGTGTCACTTCACTGACGGCCCCACACTGTCACGGTTCCAACAAACACTCTGCTACTGCTGGACCTCATCTGGCCACTCCAGCTTGTCACAACGATAGGAGATTACACACAACAAAACCCCAGGTAATCTAGAGATGCTTACCTATGGCTAATCAGCCAGGATGAAGCTGATCCCCAGCTTACCACAAAGTAAATGAAAGCTTAAATAAACTAAATCACGTTCAGCACTGTTTCTGAAACCATCTTCAGTACCAGCTCAGCTGCATCTGCAGCTGATACTGATCAACAGTAGGCAATTCACAGCAAAAAAACCTCAAGATCGGCTTGAAGGAAATATAAAGGAAATTTTCCACAAGTGAGTCAATTGGATTATTCCTCCACCCCTACAGAGTGAAGAAGAAAACACAACTCCACCTGATCACTCCCCAGCTAATACCAAAATTACCAAAATGACCAATTACAATCAGCTACTGGAGCAACCAGAAACAAACCCCAATCCTTGTATTTCCTCCATGCCTATACTCTGAGCCAGCAAGTCACAACAGTGCAGTGCTGGAACCACCTGAAAGCAACGGTTGCCATCCAGTAAGCCAGTGAGCAGGGCACGATCAGAAACACTGGGAATAGCAAGCCATCCATCATGGACAGCTGGAGAAACTTCCCCAGCAATTTAGGAATTCTGTGCCCAGTCTGTTTTCACGCAGCAACCAGTGCTCATCAGTCTGGTCTCGTGGTGCAAAGTTTGTCCTCCTGTCACCCCATCTCTGAATTCATTCTTTCAAAGTGAGAAGGAAGACGATGACTTTTGGTCAATAACTCTGACCAAGCCATTATCCTAGGGGTATTAAATGGGGAGATAAGAACTTCAGGGCTTTGCACAAATCATATTAGTTCAATTCTCAAATCCGGGTAATGCTTCTTTTCAAAGTATTAATTTCATTTATTCTATTTGCTCTCCCTCTGTCCTGATAACACAAGTGCACATGGCCCCTAAATGAGATCCTCCTATTTTATAAGTTATAATCCTCCCTTTCTAGAGTAGTAATGAGATGTCTTCACTTAATCGCGTTTATTTCCCCCCCCCAGCTTCTGCTTTTATCCATTCCCATTCCACATTGATTTGTCTCAAAGGTTTCAGTGAAAACCATCAGGCAGGGAGCCACTGGCTCCAAGAGGCTCCTGATGCATATGCTGCACGTGCTGCACAGCCTTCAGAGATTACAAAAGCAGAAAGGAGGAAAAAGAGCAGCTTTGCTTGCAAAGTTTCCTTTGTCAGTAAGAAGGAATAAAAAAAAAATAGAAACCCAAAAGAACTGTGAAGTTAAGAGAAGATATTTTGATTAATTGGAATGGAGAAAGAGAAGACTTCTGGTATAGGGGAACAGTGAAACTATTCACAGCATAGTGAAGCAGTGAAATAACTTGACTCTGACAACTTTGCAAGTTTCTCATGCTAGAAATAGAAAAGGATTTAAAGACAGCTATATTAATTCTTGGGTATTTCACATAAGATGTAAGGCATGCCACCAGCATTAGTTTGCCCCTCAGGCCTTGCTCTGAAGTACTGTACATATAATCCTTGTTGTGTTGTTAAGTACCCACAACATTAAATTATTCAGAGAGTCCAGTCACCACCACGATCCTGCAGTGCTGTACAAACAAACAAAACATTTTATCTCTTATACAAATTGGGGAGAGTCCTTCTGCAGCATCTTAGCAGACTATTTCCATTTAAGCCAGCTCCCAGGGTTAATCAAAAAGCCATATTCAGTCAACGAGGAAAGTGAATGTTGCACTGTTACTTAAAGAGCTGTTTTGCTTCTTAAACTAAAGCTTTAAGGAGTTTTACTCAAAACCTAAGCTATCTAAAAGATAAGTACCTTGTTCAAAGTCATTAAAAGAAACAGAAAGATCAAGACAAAAATGTAGAACAGAACCCAGGTACTTAATCCTAAATCCCTCTTGATCCCAGTGCACCACTTCAAGGAGAAAAAAACAACCAAAACCACATCAACCACAATAAAATAACAGTAAGTTTTAATTTGCATCCTGCCCCATAAACAATGAAGTAACTGGCCCTAGAAGCTGTCAGCAAGTTCCCCATCAAAGGTTAATTCTAGTCCACTCTAGCTCTCTTCAACAATGCGCACTATATGAAAAGACTGAAATGCTTCATGGCAATATTGCTAATAATAAAAGTGAGTGAAAATCATAAAGAACAGATTAAATGACAAGCAATGTTCAGCACAATCAAAATGAAATCACTTCAAAATACAGCTATCATACTTGGATTTATGGTCTACAAGGGGTAATGTTAAAAGAAAATGTTCCAGTACAGCTAGAGACAACAGTACAACAGAGGGCTGCTAATCACCAAACTATTGATACGTTAAAGGCACAGGGCAGCTCAAGATCTTACTCCAGATATTAAAAAAAACAAAACAAAACACAACTTTTTAATTATACACAGCATGATTCTCAATTGTTACTAAATTAAGTGCTGCTAGAAGCAAATTATTCCTTATTTCTCTCATGAGACTTGCCTAATTTTTCTCTGGCTTCCATAGTAGGTCACAACAACAATAAAAACCACCCTGGAAGTTTTTCCCTTATAAATGTAAGCAGATAATTTCCAGTGCCATCTGCACCTGGACTACCATTAGTCCTTGAGTTCCAATACCATCTTCTACTTGAAAGAGAAGACTGACACAGAAGAGATGACAAGCAGCTCACACCCAGTATTTGTCCCACATGCTGGGGCTAAAAAGCAGAACAGGAAACATTCAGGCCCTATTCAGATAAAGGAAGATAACAGTACTGGAAGACAAAGGAAAGCTATGATTTGAGTAGGATTGCGCCAATACAAAAAGGTAACCACGCAAAAAGGAAACTGTAGATGAGATAAAGCAAGTCTGACAGGGATCTCAATAATTTTAAGGTCTGACCAAAACAGTTCCTGCTTAGAAGCTGACAGACAATACCTTTGACCTCATCTTTGCAAGGACAGACCAGACAACTCCATTTTTTAAGGATCTTAAATTTATGACTGATCAAGAGATAGTTAAAGAGCAATGAAATTTAACAGTTTCTCATCCTTGCACCATGGTCTGGGCTAACACATCATGGTAAGTATTCATCACAAGGGGAGCCTGATCAGATTTTTGCAGAGCATCAAGTATGCAATATCTGGGTATGGAATACTGCAGAATTAAAAGCTAATTCAGATAACAGAACAGCTTTGGTATGTAAGCACTCAGGTCCCAACTCATTTTAGAGGTACCATCTTTACACTTCACAAATATTGCTTGACTCTGTTAGTCACATTTCTCCAGCATTATTCTATACCTCCCTGCAGGAGGGCAGGGCTCTACTTTGAGCCTGGCCACATCTTTAGATTGGACAATAAATCCACCAGCTTCTTCCCCTTGCTCTTACAGAAGCCAATAATTACATTCATAAAGAGAATATTCCCTTTCTAATGGTCTGCTGACCCAGATGTCCTGTGCAGAAGAACAGTAGTCACCTGCCTCAGACATCACTATTCCAAAGCTCAGCAATGATGCAACATCCCATGGTCAGGATACAAGAGGAAATTTCCTATGACACAGCTATTCACAAGTTTAATTCCCAAAGCAATACAGCTACACACCTGCTCTGTTCTCATGCTCTCCATAGGCAGCTTCTAGGGATCACTATCAGAGATGGGCTAGAGCTGGAAAGATCTTTTCTTTGAAGTACTGTGACCATTTTTATATAAATTTTATTTATTCAGTCCCCAAACTACCCTCATATTATATAGCCTCAAAATGCTTCACAGCCAAGCCATGAGCCTGGGCAAGCCATGCCTATTAGCATTCAACATATAGAAAAAACATGCTCATAGAAGGATTCTTCATTTAAATCAAGCACAGATTGATTAAGCTACAGCTCAGTAGCATAGAAGAACAACAACAAAGACCATCACCACTCCACTCTGTCCTCTCCCTAAACCATCCTTTCAGTATGTACCAGGCAAGGTGAATTAATCTTAGTCTAGTTCTCAACATCACAGTCTAAATGAACAGGTAGTTTGACCTCACACCCCAACTCCTCATATCACTGCAGGGCAGGAAAAAGGGGCAGTTCCACTAAGACTCTGCACTGTTTACAGGCAGTACACCATTGCCATAGTAATGCCAGCATTTAAAAGAAAACAATATGAAACAGTATTATGTCAATATTAAGCACAAATGACAATTGAAATGTACTTCACTGCACTTCTGCCTCCAGCACTGCTATGACAACAAGCCAGTGGGTCATCTCAGCAACACCAAGGTGCCTAACTAACAGTAAAGGCTGCTGCAAGAAGTCCCCACAAGTAAGTCTGCCTGCTGGGCAAGAACAAATTGGTTTTGGAGTAAGTGGTGTGCACAAAAAGGGTTTATGCTTCCTCGTCCCTAAAAATCAATCTTAGACCTCCTTCAAAGTGTTACAATACTTGACAGTTTTATAACAGTTCTTCTGCTATTACCAGTCTTGTAAAAGACTCAGACAAAAGAAGACATTATTACTTTTTATTAATTTGTGTATACGCTCAATTATATTCTAGAAAAAACAGAGCAGTCTCAGGATACATCAGGTCAGCAGAATGTGACCCTGTATATATTGAAACATCAACTTCATACACTTGAGAATTCAAAAGAGTTCTCAGTAGCTAGACAAGGAGGCCATATCCACACACCACACTCCCTGCCACAGGTCAAGGTGTCCCCAGCACAGCCACTGCTTGTGCCTTCCCCTGCAAGTCTGGCTTTAGCAGCACTGTGTGACACGCTGTAAGTGGAGCTTGCAGCTACACTGTGAGCCAAACATTAAGAGATGAGTGGGGGTGAGGAGTGTTTCAGCCTAAATCAAAGTTTCTGAGCTCATCACACAAGTGACATTCAATGAATCCTCCCAGGCAGAGGTATTTTAGCCTGTGCTGCACGAAAACATAGCAGGGCTTTGTTACTCACCATGTGGGCTGTTCTCTGCTTCTCCTCATTAATGCTGTCCCTTTCCCTGGCCTCACTGGCTGCTTCCCTTTCTCTTTTGGCCAGACGGAGCAACTCCTCTTGGACCAGAGCATGTTCTTGCTCATACCTGTGTGAGCACCAAAGGCAGAGAGAAGGTGATCAAGGGACTTCTGGCAACAGGGTCATGGCTTACGTGGCCTGCCCCTGCCTAGAGCCAAAACACAAATCCATAATCTATTTGGCACACAGTCTGCTCACAATCCCTCTATTATCAGCAGGAATTCAAAAGCCCAACAAACTTTAAACATGAACTGCAACTCCAGTGACACACAATTTTGGCACCAACAGTAGAGAACTTCGGTTATATTTAGATCTATTAAGTACTTAATTATGACCTGAAAATATGAGAATAGGAAGTAGCTAGCTAGACAAATACATGCTGCTTTGGAAAAGATCAAGGGACATACAACAATGGACATTTCCTCTCATCCTGTCACTTGTTGTCTGGGAGAAGAGAATGAACCCCACTTGGCTACAACCTCCTTTCAGATCCATGTAGAGAGCAATAAGGTACCCCCACCCCTCCTTTTCTCCAGGCTGAGCCCCCACAGCTCCCTCAGCTTGTCCTCATCAGATTTGTGCTTCAGCCCCTTCTCCAGTTCTGTTGCCCTTCTCTGGACATACTTCAGCACCTCAATGTGTGTCTTGTCATGCGGAGCCCAAAACTGAATCTACAGTTTAAAGTGTGGCCTCACCAGTGCTGAGTACAGGGGGACAATCACTGCCCTGGTCCTGCTGGTCCCACTATTTCTGGTACAAGCCAGGATGCCACTGGCCTTCTTGGCCACCTGGGCACCCACTGGCTTGTGTTCAGCAGCTGTAAAATGTACACATCGTCCTCAGACTGAATAAAGCACACATGTATACACATATACATTCCAAAAGGAGCTAAACCATTGTCTTTTTCGAGAACTTCACCTCACCTCCTGTACAGCTCCTGCTCTGCAGCAGAGTCACTCGACACCGGTGGATGGATTCCTAGAAAGAAGACCAGAAACCTGTGACAACTACAGTACAAAAAAATCCTTCATCACATCATAAATTATTTTAGGAGAATTTCATATTGTCCATCAAGAAAAAATAAGTTTAATGGATAAGAGTTTGAATTTATGAAACAGTGACACCAACAGCATCATCTTCAATCGGGCACACTGAACAGGGTGGGCTACAGAAACTTTTAGGTAAGGATGTTAACTCCTCAAACCCTGATATATACTGAAACACATGCATGGTTTTAGTCCTACTTTCCATTTCCTTCCTCTAGTTCCATTAAGTCTTCCCCTTGACCTCCTGCTTTCCTTGTAATTACAAGGGATCCCTCAAGTGGAGATGAAATTATCTGATGGAGTTCAGGCCATCCATAAGGCTAATCTACATTCAGGAAAGATGTAGACTAACAGCAAACAAATCCCTAAAAGAAAAGGCCAGGTTCTCTAACTTCATGTTACTCTGGATGCCTTAAACAAATCCACCCTGTTAATATATATCAACAAAGCATATTTGAGAACCAACAGAAATCAAATAGTTTTCTGACCTGTAAAGAAAGACAAATTCAGAAATCAAGTTCTCATCATACACTTAGCAAGCTGTACTTATACAGACTACCCTTCCTTATAAGCTTCTTTCCAAAGAAAAAGAAAAAAAAGCAGCATTTCCCCAACCAACCACAACACACCCCTGGTGCATGGAGTGCATACAAAGAAGACAAGGCAGCTTACCAGAAATGAAAGATAAATTGCTTAGTGCATGTTCATCTGAAATCCTAGAAGAGTTTACAAAGTGATACAGGCCAATCAAAGATCTCCTCTCAAAATGAGATAGTACTGAAAAATAGAGGCAGACTCCATAACATGCAGTAGCAGCACTACTGAGAGGTGTGTCCAAACAGCCCGCTGCTGACTCAACAGTACCTGTAGATTTGGGTTTCCCTTCTGCAGCCAGTGAAGATGGAGCTGTGCCATCGGATGCACGGGGAGATCTCTGGCTGTCCCTTTTACTTTGAGAAGATTCTTTCATTCGGTTCACTACATCTTCAGTGAGCTGAAACATGTATAGGTGGGTAAGACATTAACCAGGTCAGCTGTTGGTGTACATTTCACTGTGAACACTCCCTATTCGTTAGTTTCCAGGCTACTACAAAAGTATTGCATTTTTCAAGAACATACCCTATCAGTAAGTGATAAAACCTCCAACCTACTGCCTGCCCCTACAAACTTCACTAGACAATGACAATCTTCCACAAATACTACTGAAGGTGGAAAGAACTGCTAAACAAGTCAACCATTTGCACAGGGACAAATTTATCAGAAATGGAAGGAAAGGAACTAAACAGGTTTTAAGTCACTCTATCCATCTTTCTTCCTCTTCCCCCATGCTTGCTAACCCAGCTCAGTATGGCAGAAGAACTGCAAACCATATGGTAGAGAACAGCTGCACAGCCCTCCCACTCACATAAGGCTGAAAACATTTTTGCAGTCTCAACTTCATTCTCACTCACTGACTTGGGTTCAAACCCATGAAAAAGAAAGAAAAGTTCACTTGGAAGTTTTCTGGCAATTCAAAGGGCTTCTCACAGCACTGTTATGATTGACCCCTTCCTCTTCCCAAGTGCAAAGGTTCTGGCTCTAGAACAAAATTAAATGGGGCTGCTTCCCCCACTAGGCTGGTCACAGTAGAGGACGTATTTTCAGCTATGCTACTGCCATCCACCTCAATAGCATTTTTAGCATCTTCATTCTACGTTGCTGTCATGCCCAATGCCTGATTTTAAAGGCAAAAATCCCTGTCTATATCCTATTAAAAAAAAATCAGGCAAAGACAACTTCACCCCCATCAAACACTTTAACAAGGAGATAGGCACACTCTTAGCTAACTTTAGTCAAGTAATTAGTCAAAATGGGATAAAAAATGAGTAGCAAAACACTCTCTGCAAGCTCATTTCAGGCAGACCTTAGGGGAAAAAAAACACTTAAAAGCATCAAGAAACAACAGCAGTGAAAATTATGGTAGTATTAAAAAACAAAAAACAAAAACAAACAAACAAACAAAAAAAACCAACCAAACAAAAAAACACCCAACCAACCAAAGAAGGGTCTTAATGGGGAAAGAAAACATTCCTTAATGAAATCACCACCACTCTCCCGGGTTTGTTTCCACAACACACACATGTCAATTTCCGATCAAAGTTCAAGCGGCAGCTTCCCACTGTCCCTCCCAGGAACACCTCGCCATTCCCACAGTCTCCTATCTCCCTGCCTGTTCAGCCAGCGGTGCTTTGCCAAGACTCTCGGTACCATCACAAGGGCAGAGCTGTATCCTCTCGGATGCCCTCAGAGCCGGGCAGCATCCTTAGCACCAAACTGCTCGCAAAGCACGAGGCAGGGGCAAAACGGGGTCATTCAGCTGCGGGGAGGGAAGGACGGCTGAGAGCAGAGTTGGGAAGGGGAGGTGAAGGGCGGGGGTGTCCCCGCTCAACAACAGCCATGGCCAGGCCCCCAGCCCTCTTTCCCACCACTCTGCAGCCGGCCCATCACCTCTCCAACCCCCTGCTCATCCAGCCTTCCAGGTTTTCCTCCCCTCCTCCTTGCCAGTTTCGCCCACTGGCCCCTCCCAGCCCTGCACCTCCTCCCCGACCCCGCGGCCAGACCCCTCCCCATCCCAGCTCCCTGCCCTCCATCACCCGGCCCGTGTCGCCTCACCCTGATGCCCTGCAGCACCCGGACTTGGTCCCGCTCGTCCAGCCCGAAGGTGACCCTCCTGCCGCCGTGGCTGCTCTCGCTGCCGCCCATCCCGCCCGGGGTCTCCTCTCCCTGCCGCGCCCCCGTTCGCACCGGCTGCCAGGAGCGCCTCTGCCCCGGCGCCGCCTGCCAACATCCCCGCGCCCCATTGGCGGAGGCCGCGGGGCGGCCAATGGCGAGGTGCGGTGCTGGCGGCCGCGCGCGGTGCACGCTGGGAGCTGTAGTCCGTGCCGGGGGTGGGCGGCCCGCCCGGCGCAGAAAAGAGCGCTGGGAACCAGCGCGCTCCCGGGATCGCGGGGATCTCAGCTCCCATCCCAGTGTGCCCGCCCCACGCACCGCCCTTGGACTGAACACGGCATCGAGCCGCTCCGCAAAACTTCCACTGCCACACGGCCAACTCGCGGGGTTTCTTTACTGGGTCCAAATTATGGGAGGATGGGAACCAGACCACGTGTAGCCACGGGGAAGATAAGCTTCGTGCTTTCCTGGGTTATCTCCTAGCTCCGAGACTGATGAACCACGCAGATGTCGTCCATCAGGGAGCGTTAAGGGCTGATGAGCCCCCGTGGATGTCCAAGGTAATTCTCCCTCGGCAGCACTGGGACAAAGCATCCCCCAACACAGCCAGGGGAGGGTACCCCCACTCACCACACCGGGAATCCCTCATCCACCTCCACACACGCCATTTCTCTCCAAAGCCCTCGAGGGAGCTCACCACCACCACATCTTACCTCCCATTTCTCTAGTGAAAAACCGAAATTACAGTCAGTTTTACAGAGGTTGCTCTAGGGGCAGGATTCGTCTCTGCTCCCTTCAGCCCCCCTGTTCAGCAAGACCTACCAGCTGTGCTGTTACCTGCTGTGACAGGCACATGTGTGGGTCCTGCAAAGGTCAGGCCATTGCCGATAGTTCCTGTGGCCAGGCACGGACAACCCCCAGCCTAAACCAGAGGAGTGAGGAGATAGTGTAAAACACGAGCAGATGGAACAAGAAATAACAGCTTTGGAGCACCTCTTCCAGACAAACTTTCTGCATTCCCAGAAATACAGACCAGTCAACAAAGCCTTGGTATCAACACACTACTTATCTACTCAGTACACTGCTTATCTACTCACCAGTAGTGCATGGCAGCAGTTTTAACTGTTTGTTCTTCACTGCAGTTGATGAGGCAACCACAGCTTTGCCTCAGCACAGGACTCCGGCCAGTGTTAAGGGAGTAGTTGGGACTCTCTGCCCCCTCCCAAGATATCCAGGCTTCTTCTAGAACATGTTCCTGGAAGCAATTTTTGTTATTTGTGCAGCACCTTGTGCTGGGGACTCAGCCCATTGCTTGAGTTCTCGATTCAAGGGCATCGTGTCAACTGTTTGCACCACAGAAACGCCACACACAGCCAGTCAAGAGCAAAGGGTCTGGCCAAAGCTCCCTCCCAGAACACACTCACCTGCCTCCTGTTCATTTCTTGTCTGCCACCTGCTCACTCCACTTGATGGCACACAGCTTTTGTACTGGAAAAGCAGTCATTCCTTATTCACCTCCTCTGTCCTCCCAGGGTTTCACAGACCTGCACCACTGCTCTTCCAAGCTGGTGAGTTTTTAACCATGTAATTACTCCTCCCAAAGTCTTTCCATGACTTGTCATCCTGTCACCCTTCCTTAGGCCCTTTCCAGGTGTAACTCCAGCCAGGTGGCAGGCATCATCTGCGAAGATCCAGGAGGGACAGTAGGCAAAGGCAAACAAAACTGCACATCACACCTGCAGCCGTGCTTTCCTGCAATCTCCAAGAGCCCAAGGATGCCCAGCAGGGCCCGTGAGCTGTGGGACACTGATGTGGAAGCAGCTGTGATAATGGTGGAGGAGCTGTACTGTAACAAACACCTTTCCACCTGCACAGGAGCAGAGGATCCCATCCAAGTTAACTCCAGCAGTAGCACCTCCTGAGGCAACTCTCCCATAGCTTTCTCCAAGGAGCCTGGAAGGAGCTCCAAAAGGTCTTATTGCACAAGGGCATGACCCACTCCCAAGGCAGAGATGAAGATCACCTGGCCATCAAAGAGAACCTGAGGGGTACTGACCCCTGCCAGCACACCGAGCTGTTACTCAGCTGTCATGAAACCACAGAATCACATTCTCCCAGCAGCCAGAAAATGTCCTGACACACAGGGTTTATTTCAAAGCCCAGAATAAGAAATAAGCAAGAGTCATTTCCAACTTCCACATAAGCCTTTACCCAAGCAATAGAAAAATATCCGATAGCAAAGGCCCCAGTGTTAGACATGCCCAGGAACAGCAAGATCTACTACTGAGAAGTCAAAGGTTTCACTGACAGTTACTTAAATCTGGAGACCACCCTCTGCACAGTCATCAACTGGCCTAGTAATAGCCTTCCAAGAAGGAAAAATCCATCTCTGACAAAAGGACATCATGTTATTCAATATTATCTGCAATATTTGTTCAGGCTTTTTTTTTAAATCCGCAACTTATTTTTCCTCCATAGTATGTCTCATTTCAGAAATGAAGTATGACCAATTATGCCAAACTTAATTTTATTTTACAAACAAAAATATACATTTATTCTATATTTTCTCTCTTTTTACCACCCCCACACACACAACACACTTCTGCTCAAGAACTTTGAAAATGGCCCAAAGCATTATATATACATAAATATACAACAGGGGGAAGGTCAGTCCATGACCTAGTGCAGAAACTCCTCAGCAGCAGAACATGGGACACTCCAGAAATACTGAAGTCCTGCCAGCAAAAGACAGGATGGATGTGTACACCACCAGCACAGGTGATCCTTCAGCACTGAATTCAGCTGGTAAAAAGACAAATTCATAACCTGCTCTTCACATCACCAAGGAGGACAGATAAGTCCTCTCAGACAAGACGCTGAAAGTCAGCAAAAATTCCTTGGGATGAAAAAGCCATTGCTCCTTTGCTTCCCAACTGCTGTGGGACCTTCGCGTCTCTTAGCTCTGTCCAAGGCCCACAAACTCCAGGGAAGCTTCACAGGTTTCCCTTCCATTTCTAACGAACAGCAGCTTGGGATCAGTGTTGTAAAGCAGCAGTAGGAGCAGCAGCAGGACAATTCAGGCACCACATCATCCATCCCTTTTCAGAGCAAGCAGTACAGCGTGGCTCAGGCCGACTGACAGCAGTGACAGAGGAGCTTGGAACACTTCTCTAACATGGCAAGGCTGGACTTGGCCAGTTGTTTGTCCAGCCCTTACACAGTCATTGCATGGAAGAGAAACGTGAAACGCTGTGACCTACAGGAGACAACTCCACTCTCACACACAGACAAATGGAAGCTTTTTTTCCCTCAAAAGTAAAATAAAGCAAAAAAAGGGGGCTGGGAGGGAAGCATTGTTTGTTTTCAAGGTGCTAGTGCTACTTAGAGGCCTGCAGGGCAAAGTCCACAGGCAGACAGAGAGGCTGCATTGCTCATTAACAAAATAAGCAAAGAGCCTGCATAGTTTTAGCAACCAATATGAGCTTCTTGTTCTTACCCATGTTTTCTTTCCCTACGGTGGGAACACCTGGTAGCAAATGCTTTCCTCTACCTGCTCACGATTCAAACTAAGACCTGCATGACAATTTCCCAGCAGCTCTTACTTCAGTATTCTTCAGGAACAGCAGTAAGTTGGGGCATGAGATTCACACAGTCCCCGACATTTCAAATTCCCTCTTTCTACCACCTCTAGAGGAAAGTTGCTATTGCTTATAGCAGATCACCTACCTAGAGGACTCAAGTAGGAAAGCACCCCCAAAGCTAGAGGAATACACATCTTCATCCTTGGAGAGCACAGCATGTCCCAGAAACCAGACTGATGAAGCTTTCAGATGAACAGTCCCTAGACTGGAACACACCATGTCTTGAAACTGCATGTCAGACAGCTCAGATGATAGTCCCTTTTCCAGCATGGAAGAGGTTAATAAGAAGTTCAAAATAGTCTTTAAATTAACCGCTCTCCACATGCAGATAAGTATTTTCAACATATTGAGCCATAAAACTTTCTCAGACCAACAAGAATCTGGGGATCTCAACTGCAACATCAGAGGTCACTCCCAGAGAAACACATCTATCTCCCACTTGTCTCCTACCATAGCACACCAGCCAGCTCAATTCTAGCACACCTAAGGGGTTTGAGAGCTTCTAGTCACTAAATACTGACAGCTTGGACTCATCATGGGCTTCTGCTCTGCCTCAAGCACCTGAACATCTCTGGAGCCTTCATCTGCAGAGTCAGCTTCCTCCTTCCAGCACTCTCCAAGCCCTAACCAGAGCCATGAAGCAGGGCACAAATGGAAAATGCACTTACTTCACAGGTTTTATTCTTGACACTCAGCTCTGACTCAGTGTTGTTGCTTAGATTTTCCTGTGAGCTCAAATGCACAGCACTACAGCCTCCACAGACTGTTTCACAGCTCCTTCAGCTCAGCTAGACAGCAGCACTGTCTGTCCTTCTGTCTCCCTACTGTTCAGTCACTTCACATCCATGCTGTGAGCTACCAGCCTGCCCCAAATGCTTCCCAGGCACATTCCTCTTAATACCTCTCTTTTTTCCCACACACTCAGAACACCCCTTTTAACCACTAGCAATTCCAATTCACGATTTTCACCAGTGTTAGCTGCAACCAGGGATGAGCCCCAGTGACCAGCTTCCCTCTTCAGACACTGCTATCACCACCTGTGCTGTTGCATTACGGCAGGACACAGGCACCCGTGCTGCTTGAAAAAGCCCAGGAAGACCATCTTTGGTTTCAACCACCAAACTTTTTCTATATATGTACAATACAGCAGTCAAATCAACACCCTCATCCCTAAACAACATTCCCCTTATTGGCAGACAAGTGCTTTCAGTCACTGAAAAGGAAGAGGTGCCAGCCAGGGCTGTCTTCTGGATTGTATTCACATCTGGAACACAGAGGATCAGGGAAGTTCAGTGTTTATAGGATTATGAACAAAACTGTTCTCAGGTAGCAAGAGAAAATTTTCTTTTCAAAAGGGTTTGGGCTGCCAACTTAGTTCCACAATAGGTTTTGGAAATCCTAAGGAAAAGAGGAAAGCCATGGCAGATAGCCAAGGACAGATTTCCATTGGACATCCTGTAGTATCAGGGAGTTTGG